TGAATAAAATTAGGAGGTATGACAGACATTGTGAAACAAAAAGAAGATGCTCAAAAGACAAGAGCAACTGGGATGAGGGAAAAGAGAAAAGAAAGAAGGGGAAATTATGTATGTATGTATATACAGGATTGTAACATAGTTGTACTACTGACTTCTATTGCTTTACTGAAAGGAACAGCTAATGATTACTTATTTGATCAATCTTGCATGTCTCTATTTGTTTTCCTGAGAAACCACTTTGAAGATATCAATGAGTAATACAACAACCATTGTTAATTTCCTACCACTTTGTCTGTAACTCTGTATTGTTTATATTGTTCTTATGCTATTTTGTAAGTGGATGTCTGTTAATATGTTTTCCTTCTTTTATTTTTAAAATAAATTTTTAATAAAGAACAGGTATAAACCTCAGCTCCCTCGTTTAGACTTAGCACATGGCCCCTAACCACACTCAGCATTAGTTTATCCCTTCAGTAATAAAGAGATAATAATAGTTTGAAACGTTAACAAGCTGTATCTCTCTAGGTCCAGTCACGAGAAATAAAAAACCCAGTACATTAAGCAAGGGAAATGTATTATAAATAAATATTAAGTGTAGAAGAATCCAATGGTGAAGAGACAGAGGTTAAAGAAGAACAAACTGGGAAGGGGTTAAGCCCTCATCTGAGAAGGTACGGTTCAGGTGAATTGCAGAGGAGTTTTCTGAAGAGCCAGGCCAGATCTGCGCTAGGGTGGATCTGCGATCTATCACTACCCCCCACGTGTAAGTAACACAGCAGGCAAACGACAGCCATGGGCACGGATGTGCAGTTGGGTGCTGGCTGCCTCTGGAAACAGAAAGTCTTCACAGTGCGTGGAGTCTGCAGAAATGGCGGCTTCTATCTGTGCCCTGCAGACTCTAGGAATGATGTGGGGGCTTGCTGGATGAGTCCTCCAGGTAGCTGCATGCAGAGCATTCCAGAACTCGCAGAGGGACTCAGGCAGGAAGCTGGCTGGGTGGAGCTCTGGTTTCCTGTCGAGCGAGGACTGAAGTGTGAGGCTGTAAGGTCAAAATGTATCCGGAGCCTGTGCCCCAGGTCAGAAGTTGCTCGGAACTCCTATCATTCATTATCCTCAGATTCCCATCTCTCATTAATCCCTGTCCTCACCCTTCATCAGTGCAGCTCCTCACTTTGGCCCTCCCCGCTTCTCCCTCTTCTTGTCTTCTACATTCAGCAGCAAAACCAATATCCTTCTTCCCATACCCACAACGCACAATTCTTCCCAGAGACACCGCGTGTTTGAAGCTCTCCAGAAAGGAGGCTCTTTCTTCACACTCCTGGCCTGAGTTCCCTGAAGGTCTCAGGCTTTTCTCCCTTCCCGGGCACCTAACAGCCACTTCCCCCTCCTAAAGCCACACCCACGTTGGAGGTGATGCCTCACACGGCACCACTTCTCCAATCAGAATCGCACCATTTTTATTGTATTTAACTGAAAGTAAACACTTCTTACAGGACTTTCAGGACAGGCCTCTGCCTAACTCCCTGATTGACTCCTACCTTTCCTCTCGCTCTGTTACGGCCACATTAACCTTTCTCCAGCTCTTCAAACAATCCAAGGTCCTTCCCTAACCTGAAAGGTTGCCCTTGGCCACAAATTCCCTCTGGCTCCTTATGGCTAATTCTTCTCATTCACAGATACCAGCTAAACCTTAAGTCTTTGATTGCAAGACTTTGCTTTTTTTCTTCTTGGTAAGTAGATTTCTGCCCTCCATCTTTCCCTATCATAGGACACTTCATTTCCTTGAGAGTTCTGCAACTTCATTTTTATTAGCCTTGGTTCCTATTTCAAGGTCTTAGTCTACTGCTGGAAGAAATAAAATTAATCTTCTTGATTAACCCTCTGGATTAGTCAGATCAGTGTTCCATAACAAAATGCAATAAGTAGATGCAAAATATTAACCAAAAATATTTGTTTCCTCTCAGTTCTGGAAGCTGGACATTTGTACTGGTCAGGGTTTTCTGCAGGAACAGAACTAACAGAACATGTATACTATTGTAAGAGGAGATTTATTAGCTTGATTTATATGATCGGAAGCCAAATAGAACTCCATTGGCTATCTGCAACCTGGAGAGTCAGGGAAGCAAACTGTTCAGTCAAAGCAGTAGGCAGTCTCAGAACAAGAGGAACCAGTGATGCAGCCCCAGGCTGAGACGGAAGATCTGGAAGGTCCCCTGGAGAGTTACTGGTTGAGTCTATATTCAAAGGTTGAAGAAGCTGGGGTCTGATGTCCACAGGCAGTGGAAGGGGCAAAAAGCACACCTACTGAAAAACAATCCAATGTATATGTACAGAGCTTCCCTCTTCCACTTTCTGTACCATCCTGCTGCCCACATTCAGGGCTGGTCTCCCCCACTCTGTGATCTCTGACCCACACGCCAATCATCTCTGGAAATACCTCCCAGACACACCCGGAGGTGTGCTTTACCAGTTTTCTAGGCATCTTTCAATGCAGCCAAGTTGGCTACCAAGATTAACCATCATAAAACTGAGATCAGACTGCCAGCACGATCACGTTCTGCTGAAACCTGGCTTCTTGATGGCCACCTTCTCACTGTGCTCTTACACGGCAGGAAGAAAGATACACGCAGCGTTCTCTAGTGTCCACAAATTCATTGCATTGAATTTTGTATACTGTCCCTGCTCCACCAAGTGTGCATACAATTTAGAGTACCAAGAGGCTTTGGAGACCATTAAATTCAAGATGTTAATTTTATAGATGAATATAATGAGAATCAGAGAGAAGAGTCAATTTGCCCTAAATCATACCCACAGCAAGTTAGCAAAATTAGGATGAAAATTAAGACATTAAGTTCTGTGTTCCTTGGCAAAATAATGCAAAGTACACCATGCTACCATTGATTTCATGTGCCAGGTCAGGTCTCAGCAATGTACTGGCTCCACACACTAGTTCATTTGCAATGTGGTAGCACATATGGTCCATATGTACTACTTTGCTTACATCACCTTGGTCTTCTATTTCCATAAGCATGTCACTTTCAGTTATCATGTTTATGTTGGTTACATGTATGCTACTGATTTCTGCAGTATTGTAGTAGGTTATATTATTCTCTCCTTTGTTTATTACCCTCCCTGTACAGGAACTATATAAGCCTATTCAGTACCACATGACTTGTATCACTTCTCTAAGAAAAGACTTCTCAACCCTTTGCTATTGGGCTTGACCATGCAACTTTCTTTGGCCAGTGGGTGGTATACAAAGAGGTGTGTGTCACTTCTGAAATGCTCAGAGTCTCTTCCTCTTTGTCCCCTCTGTTATAAAACTGCATGTTCCATACAAGGGTTCCTTCTTCTAAGAAAGCCACAGCCAACCTATAACTAACATGGAAAACTAACAATAAAGAACTTTGGCTGTTGTGAGCCACTCAGATTATTGTTATTATTGGGCTACAACGTGGCAAGTTAATCAACAGAGTCAATTTGGTTTCATGTACATTTTTCCACTAACTAAATACTAGCTTGAGGAGCCGGGCATGGTGGCGCATGCCTGTTGTAATCCCAGCACTCAGGAGGCTGAGGTAGGAGGATCACTGTGAGTTTGAGACCAGCCTGGGTTACAAAGTGAGCTCAAGACCAGCCTGAACTGCATAGTGAGACCCTGTCTCAAAAAGACAATAAATAAATAAATACATACATACATACATACATACATACTAGCTTGGTTCAAATGCACAGTGTTGACTACTCACATTACACACGTCCTTCTGTTCAGCATTGGATATTTTCCCCAGGCTTCCCTTGGATCCCTGTTCACCAGGTCACCCTACCACCACGCCCCGTCACCTTCAGAAAAGCTCTCTTAATGTCTTGGTTCCTCAGACTATAGACCGCAGGGTTGAGCAAGGCTGTAAAGACATTGTAAAATAGTGAAATCTGCTTGTCTAGTTCAGGGGAGTAGCTGGAGTTGGGCTTCATGTAGATGTAAGTGGCTGGAGCATAGAAGAACGTGACCACAGTCAGGTGGGAGGCACATGTGGAGAAAGCCTTGCAGCGGGCTCGCGTGGACTTAATCTTGAGAATGGCCAGGGCAATACAAATGTAGGAAGCCAGAATAAGGGAGAGGGGGGCAGCAAGCACAAGCACACTGATGACCAGGTCCACCAACTCAACTAGATGAGTATCCATGCAAGCCAAGCTCCGCACCGAGGGACCTTCACAGAAGTAGTGGTTGATCATGTTGGGTCCACAATATGGCAGCCTCATGGTGAAGAAAGTATGGATTAGAGAGAAGAGGAAACCGCAGGCCCATGTCCCCGCCACCAGCCGCATGCACAGGCCCCAACTGAGAACGGCAGTGTAACGCAGTGGATACCAAATGGCTACATATCGGTCATAAGCCATGACTACGAAGAAAATGCACTCAGTCAGGCCCAGGGCACAAAACACATACATCTGCAGCCAACAGCCAGCGAAGGAGATGGTCTGAGAGTGAGCTAGAAGATGCACCAGCATCTGGGGCATAGTGGTGGTGACATAGCACATATCCAGCAGGGAAAGGATACAAAGGAAGAAGTACATAGGAGTGTGGAGCTGTTTGTCCAGGCAAATCAGGGTGATGATGAGCCCATTGCCCAGGACTGAGCTCAGGTAGAGGAGAAGGAAGGCAATGAAAAGGATCCTGTTGGACATGGGGTCACTGGAGAATCCAAGCAGGATAAATTCAGAAACCCAACTTTGGTTCTGGACTGGAAGCATCCACATGGTGGGGCCTGGAATAGAATCATATTCATTTCCATGTCATCTAAAGTATGGCAGCCTATCAAGAATGCCATCTGCACTGGCAGATGGGCTAAGATGTGAGTTCCGGCCCCAAACTCACTTTCTATGTAATCTGGAACAGTATAGCGCCGCCCATGATGCAATCACCCTCCACGCACCTGAGAATTTTAGATATAAACTGTAATAACAGCTATCACTCATGTGTCTAACAACAACCAGTTTACATGATGTCAGCTCCAGGCCCCAGACCTCTTACAGAGGGAGTTCCACTCCTCCCTGGAGAACAGTAGTCTGAGTGTTCTACAAGGCTTTCATCCTCACTTCTGTAAACGTTGCTCTTTGGCCCCCCAGGTGCAAGGTAAAGCTTCGACAACAGAGGGCGATAGAGGGCACCCAATGGAATGTAACCGCAGCAGGTACTTGTGCTGCTGCCTTCTGCCCTTCCTTACTCAGCCCGACAGCCATTGGAGTGGTGCGTAGGAGGCCAGTAACGCTCAGGCTGACTGGCCTCAGTGGACCAACACCAGCCGTGCCTGGAGCTGACATCATGTAAACTGGTTGTTGTTAGACACACGAGTGATAGCTCTTATTACAGTTTATATCTAAAATTCCATATTCCCCCCACCCAAAAGCTGCACTCTTGGCAGCGCCTGCAGGCTGCTTTCAGGGCCATGTTCTCAGGCAACCATCTCCCACCTGGGAGGCCGCTTGTTCTCCCCACGCAGCAGCACCGCAGACGCACCCCGGGCAATGCTTTTCTATGTCCACTGACAGGCGGTGCGTTCCTGAGAGGCACAACCTCTTTGACCATGTTTGAGTTAGGCTGGGGTGTAGCTCAGTGGCACAGCGCCTGCCTGGCAAGCTCAAGGTCCTGAGTTTGATTCCCAGTACAAAAAAAATGTCTGAATAGCAGGCATTTTTTTCTTTTTGTCTCCTTTTTTTTTGGTCAGGAGCAAGTGAAGGGAGTGAGACACCTCTTTAGTCCCTCCAGTATGTACTGTCCTTCAGCCTAGAAGTAGTAGCTATTTTTGTTTCAGTTTTTATTTTTTCATTTACTACTTTCCTTTCATCCTTTTTAGTACCTACCTTTTACTAATTAACAGTTTCTTATACTGAATTTTCTGTGTTCAGATTACTGATGTGGGGGCTGGGGATTTAGCTCAGCGGCAAAAGCACCTGCCTGGCAAGCGCAAGGTCGTGAGTTCGGTTCCCGGTACCAGAGAAAAACCGAAAAACCAGATTACTGATGTGTCCTCTCTCCTGACCGGAGCCTGATTGATACAGATGCTAAATCTATGGAGAATGAGTCTGATAATGAAAAGAAAACATACTTGAAAGCTATCTACCCACAAGGTTTGTTCATATATATTTATATATCTTAGGGAAACTAGCCAACATCTTCACTGAGTGATTGCCAACAAGGAGCAAGTAGGCACAGTGTGTCTCCAGATATATAATGCTAAGAATACACTGCCTATACAGTATTTGAGCCAAAGATGTAAAACTTAAATCTAATCATGAAGTAACATCAAAGAAACCCAAACTGAGGAACACTCTATAAAATAACTATTTTCCAAGTTCAAAAAAAATCAAGAGCCAGTTGTGGTGGCGCACACCTGTAATCCCAGCACTTGGGAGGCTGAGGCAGGAGGATTGCCATGAGTTTGAGGCTAGCCTGCACTACATAGTGGGTTCAAAACCAGCCTGAGCTACATAGCAAGACCTTGTCTCCAAAGAAAAGTCAATAATGAAAAAGAAATGCTGAGAATCTATAACAGATGCAAACAAACAAACAACAACAAAAACAGATAATGCAATATTTAATCCTGAAAAGGGGGCAACTCATTAGGGATCCCTCCTGTCTCTCAGGAGCTATTCCTGTTCTCCATTTCCCCATTCCTTTTCTCCAATAAATTTTCCTACTGTTAAAAAAATCCTGAAAAGGAAGTATACTATAAGTTACACTAGTACGATCATTGATAGTATTGAAATATGACTTGGATTATATTAGACTTCAAAATACTATTGTTTTAATGTTAAATTTCCTGAATTTAGTAACTCCTATACAAGAGAACATCTTTAGTCTCAAGAAATATTTACTGAAGCATTAAGGGTAAGGGAATACAATATTTGCAAATTCTCTCAAATGGTTCTAAATATTATAACAACACTATATTAACATAGAGAGAATGATAAAATAATTATGACAAAATGTTAAAAAAATTTTTTTTTGGTTTTTTGAGACAAGATCTCACTGTGTAGTCCAGGCTGGTCTCAAACTCACAGTGATCCTCCTGCCTCAGCCTTCTGGGTGCTGGGATTATAAACATGCACCACCATGCCTGGCTTTGTTAAAAATTATTAAATGTAGGTAGGAAGCATACAGGATTTCTTTGTACTATTCTTTCAACTTTTCGGCAAACCTGAAGTTATTTTGAATTAAAGGATTTTTTAAAGTTGAAATTTTTGTATATGGAATGAAAATTCTTCAGACAAATGAAAATGAGATAATTAAAGAGATTTTATTTGGGCAGAGAAAAGGTGAAAAAAACACAAAAAAGTAAAAAAGGGACTGGGGATTTAGCTTAGAGGCACAGCGCCTGCCTGGCAAGCGCAAGGTCGTGAGTTTGATTCCGGGTATCAGAAAAAAAACAAAACAAAAAAAAAAAGTAAAAAAGATTGAGGAGAACCTCAAGGAAAGACCAAATATGCAGATAAATATAAATTAATAACAAGTACAACAATATGAGGTTTTATGGGATTTAAAATAAAAGAAAATTAAAGATCATGACAGCAGCACAAGGAATAGAGTTAAAATGTTCTAAACACATATTTAGCATAACTGGAAAAATGATAAAACAAATTGTGTTGGAGAGTGATGAATCAAAAAGATTTATTTTAATAACTATAGAAATCACTAGGGGCTGGGGATGTAGCTCAGTGGCACAGTGCCTGCCTGGCAGGTGTGAGGTCCTGAGTTCAATTCCCAGCACCAAAAAAAAAAAAAAAAAAAAAAAATCACTGAAGAAAAAATAGAGAATGTTTGACAAGCTACAATTTTTAAATGAACTGATAAAAATATCCTTAACCCAAAATAATGCTCTTTTGAGAGGAAGAACTACTAACATCTTTAAAATTAGTAATACACTTGCCAGAGATGGTGGCCCACACCTGTAAATTCAGCTACTCAGCAGGCTGAGACAGGACCTCAAGTTCAAGTCCAACTTGGGCAACTTAGCAAGTTCTTGTCTCAAAATAAAAATTAATCAATCAGGCCTGGTATGGTGGCACACGCCTGTAATCCCAGCACTCAGGAGGCTGAGGCAGGAGAATCATTGTGAGTTCAAGATCAGCCTGGGTTACAAAGTGAGCTCAAGGCCAGCCTGAACTGCATACTGAGACCCTGTCTCAAGAACAAACAAATAGGGGCTGGGGATTTAGCTCAGCGGCAAAGCGCCTGCCTGGCAAGCGCAAGGTCGTGAGTTCGGTTCCTGGTACCGGAGAAAAACCAAAACCAAAAAAAAAAAAAAGAACAAACAAATAAAAAATCAATCAATAAAAAGAGCTGAGGAGGTAGCTCAGCACTTCCTGGGATGAATTCTCAGTTACTACCAAAATAAACAAGTAAACAAATTAATTAATTAATTAATTAATTTAAAAGTCCCTCTGAATAATCTATGGAACAAAGAAAAATAAAAATGGAAATTTGTATATATTAAATGAAGTGATAAAACAATACATTATCAGTGCTTAGCAGGAAAATTCTACCCTTAAGTGCACATACTGGAAGACTGACAATTAATTACCTCATCTTACATTTCAAAAAAACCTAGAAAAAGAATTGTAAATCAAGCACAAAATGTAGTTGAAGGAAGGAAATAATTAAGAGAAGAAAAGGAAATGGCAAACAAACATGCAATACAGAAAACTCAGCAAAATCAAAAACAGGTTTTATGTTATAAATAAAGAGCAAAATAAAAGATAGATAATAAGAAGTAGGGAAACAGGTCTTTCCCAAAGGGGAAGGAGGTCAAGAAGTGAAGAGAAGGGGTGGTAGAAGGAAAGCAGATGAGAAAAAAATAAGATATATTATGTACATGTGCCAACGCCCCACAAGGAATGCAAACCTTATGTACTGCAAATGTGCACTAACAAAGAACACGATCTGAAAAAATAAGAGAATAAAAAATAGGATCTTTGAAATAATTACCAACTGATAAGTCCTTAGCAAGATTGATAAATAAAAAAAAAAAAAACACAAAATTTCCAACATCAAGAATGAAAAAGCCTAGTAGGCTGAGGCAGGAGGGTCACTGTGAGTTCGAGACCAGCCTGGGCTACAAAGTGAGCTCAAGCCCAGCCTGAACTGCATAGCGAGACCCTGTCTCAAAAAGACAAAAAAAAAAAAAAAAAAAAAAAAAAAAAGAGAAATAAAACGTTACTACAGACCCTACAATCATTTAAAAGATTATTACAATAATTACAAAAATCTTTATTTGGGTAAGTTTGACATTTTAAATTTAATCAGCAAATGTCTCTTTAAAACACCATTTACCAAAACTGACACAAGAAAAATAAAATTCTGAAAACCTACTATCACTTTGAAAGTTGAATATAAATTTGAAACTTTTCTAAAAAGAAAACCCCCAGATAGTGAACTGGTGAGTTCTTCCAATAGCAAAGAGAGGAAAAACGCAAATGATAACAAACTTCCAGAGAGAAGAAAAGATGAAAACATTCCAACTTACTCTATGAGATAAGCATAAACTTGATACCAAATAACAAGGACAGAAAAGAAAAATAGACCAATCCTTGTCATGAGCATTTTTGCAAAACTACTACAGAAAATATTAGCAAATTAAATTCAGCAATTCCTAAAAAGGATAACACATCACAGTCAAACTGGATTTGTTACAGGAAGGACTTCAAAGTTGGCTTAGCAGCTGGTAACTGGACAATGTAATTCACCATATAATTAAAAT